CAGGCGTTTTTTTGGCAGGCGTTTTTTTGGCGGGAGACTTCTTGGCGGAGGCCTTCGGCTTCGGAGCGGGGCTCTTCGCCATAGTCTTGGCTCGTTTCTGCCACAGATGTCAAACCCAAATGCATGATGGACGGAAGGTGCGGGAGGGGGGGGAGGGGGGGCGTACTCTCATGTATTGCATGCCTTAGCTGTTAGACCATTGACCACGCGTCATCCTCGAGAGGACGGAAGGGGGGCGTCCGATTCAGCACATGCTGTAATGGCAGCACCAGACCGGGGCGCGTGTGCGCTGCCGCCAAGAGCGTTGGGTCTTGGCAGTACGGCGAGGTTGGTTCTGGGCTGCCTCAAGGTGGGTTGCGAAATAGCTGTCGATAACACCCATAGACATGTAGATTTGGCAACAGAAACAAAATATAAGAGGGCCCGCACGCCCGGAAAGCCTGGCACATAAAACATACCTACGCACACAATAACGCACACGCGAAGGCAATACATATCCTCCAAAAACACAAATATGGATATGAGGCCACACGAGACCTCCCACATGACAAGTACCCTTCTGCTAGCTTCACGCAGGGCGGGAACAAAGCAAGCACGAAAAAAATAAAACACGCACAAGCGACGGCAATGCCCTCCGAAAACACAAATGGGGAGTAAGAGGCCACGCGAGACCTTCACCTCCCCCAGCGTGTGTGTACCCTTCGCTATCGGCATGCAGGAGGGGGGACAAAGCAACGTGTGCTAACCTTTGCGGGAGTGGCGGTCTTCTTGGCTTTGGCCGCCTTGTTTTTGGACCCAGGGGGCTGCGTTGATGGTGCGGGTGACGTGAAAATCGGGGGGCGGGGGGCAGGGACGAGGGGGGCGGCGGGGGTTGATCTCGCTGGGTTCACGTGTGCGGGCGTCAAACCTGCTGTAGAACGTGCAATGGCCACTGACATCGCTAGGACAAAACTATTGCTACTTCCGGATTGCCCCCTGGTAAACAAAGAGCAAGGAGCATCGTAGCACCTAGGTCCAGACACAAAGTAGTCCAACAAGCACAAACAAGTGTCACAGTCGATCCCTACGGTCCTCCTAGCACTGACACCCCAAAGCGGTTAATCCTTGACAAGGACTACCTACAATACCCTCCATGCGCACGATCACACGGTCGAAAAAATGACGCCGACCCTCTCGCCACAGAAAGCGGCAACTGCCACCGACACTCCCACGAGCAACGGCGATAGTCACAAACCGCCACCTCGATCCCACACCCAGCCAAGCCAAGAGAGACAACAAACGAGACAACAACCAACACGCATACCTCCATGGCAGACGCAACCGGCTTCTGTAGCCACTCGAGCAGCCTCGCCGTGAGCATGGCCCTATCTGGGTTCTTCCCCTCCTCGAACGATGTCGAGCTGCGCGACACCTGTAGCGAAAAAACACACACAAGGGGTTGGATAGAGGGGGTCAGAAAATCAGGCCGTAGATATGCAGCGAAAGTCTTCAGCCAAATCCCTGCCTTGAACTACATAGGGATCTCTTGCAGCACACAATACCAACTCTACAGTAGTCGTCCCACGTGTTTCAGGACATCAGAATAAAGGGCGATCCCCGCTTTAAGGACATCATTGTTTTCAGAAGCGTGGTGCCCGGCAGAATGTAACTCCCCCCCCCACCCGCCCTCCCCCGGTGTTTGCCATCGGGGTTGGGTTTTCGTCGCTTGGCAACGACGTTGTAAAACAAGCCCCCCCCTCGGTGTTTGCCATCGGGATTGGGTTTTCGTCGCTTGGCAACAACGTTGTAAAACAAGCCAATTCACTACGTGAACTCGGCAACCAGGTAACCGGTTTTTTTTTGCCTCTGTTTTTTTTTTGCGGTAACCATAATGGTGGTCGAGTACAATAGATCATGTTGTGCGGGGTCGAGAACCCTCACTCCGCGCAAGGGGGATGATCGCACCACGTTGTGGTAAAATGGTCAAGCATCCTCGAGGCAGTTACACAGTGCTTATAACTGTCTCTGGAAGTGAACGCACCAGAAAATAAATTAAGTCATACGCAGCTGTCACTCCGTACGCAAGGAAGTAAGCACAAGATGGCGAACACCCTTAGCGGGATGCAGCGCACCCTTCATGCGACTCGCCGAATATCTCACGGCGCTTCGCGCTTGGTGATGTGAGAGCCTGGTCCGGTGAGAACCCGGCGTGATCCGTCCCGGCTTTGTAGGGATGCGAGGTCAATGGTCTAACGACTACGGCATGCACGACTATGAGTATGAGTACACCCCCCCCTCTCCCACCTCCCATGCCCGCCTTGGAGCACAAAGAGCGCTTGCGAACCACCATCGCTACTCCGCGGCCCACCCCAATAAAACACAACAAAAAAATCAGTACGTAGCAGCCAGCCTACGGCTTCAGAGATGATGAGCAGCCAGCCAGTGGCATCCAGACCGCGCGTCAAGAATGCGGCTCAACCGTCGTCGTGACGTACGTAAGAACCCGTAGGAAACGAGCATCCGGCGTCAACACTCACCTCGAGTAGGTCCATGGCTTCCTTCACCATGGGGACCGGCCACTTCTTGCTGTCCAGTCGGGAGGTCACCTGCCACAGCAGCGTAGTGCGGGAGTGAAAAAAAAACCACGTTGCTACAGGTACACCAGCCTCAGCTGGGGGGAAGGATGCAGTGGACGCCGAACAATTGCCACCTCCGAGAGTATACTTACAGGCTTGCTTGCAGACGCAGCGTCAAGCGTCCAGCGGTGGCAGCAGAAGCAGCCACAGCGCTAGTTAAACACCAGCACTTGTGATGTCCTCGCTCCAATATTGGTGTCATCTTTGGCACCAAAGGCCACTGCTGTCACCGATCGGTGCCCTTCGCTTTCACGGGGTTGAAAATGAAGCCGCCAACAGCAGTAGAACCCCGGGATGGTGTAGGGGTCTAACCTACGCCAGTCTTTTCAGTGTTCCTGCTGGCTCACGACTTGTTATACTGCTGTTGTGCACACATAAAAATCCGTTCCGGTCTCCGCTGAGTACCGTACAAAATCCACCCCCCTGTCCAACTGACGCGGACGCGGTTCCGTGGGTCGCGGGCCAACTACCCAAAAAATGGTACACGAACGAAAAAAAAAACACTAAAAAGGTTACCCAGAAAATTCAACACCATAGCTCGACAACAGACACGGCTTCGAAAGACCTTAATTCTCGCCTTAAACAACACAAGACGCAAGCACAGGTTTCCGGGGGCGCCGCAAATTGAAGCCTATTACGCGGGGGGAGTACATGCATACCGTACCTTGTCCAGGGCTTCGTCATCCGGGATGCCGGAGAACTGCAGAAGCTGTGCCTTCAGCTCTGTTTTCTGTGGAGAAAAAGAAAAGAAACAAAGGCGACGGGGAGTGGTCAATAACATGAAAAAAAGGTACCATCTACGAGCAAAATATGCAGCACGACGGGCACACGTACATGAAAACATTTTTGCGCGCGTAGTTGTGGTGGCACAACAAACAAACACACACGCACACATACACACATGGCATGCTGGTAACTCGTATGCATGCATAGTAGATACAAAGCGCGCAGCTTCGAGATTTCCTTGGCTCCACAACCTGGGATTCCTTCGCCGAACGCACCCGTCAACCCTTCAACAGAGAGGTTAAGTACAAGCTGTGCGTGCAGCAGACCAACGATGTGCTTCTAAAAATATGCCCCAGATCGCAACCCGTGCCTTCGGCAACAGCGGGCAGAACAGCGAGCTAGAGCAGCAGTGCACGGGCATCCGCCAAACATCAGCCTAAGTAGCTTTTGCTTCCAACATACATGCTGCACCCCCCCCCGGGCGCCTAAACCCAAGCCCTAACGCCAACCCACGTCCAAGCGAGGCTTTCGCTGCACGTTCTGGACAAGGCGAAACACGCATAAGCATGTCCATAGAATGATAGGGGTGCCACAAGAGGCCGGTAACGCTGCTGTTGTATCCATTGGGGCGCCTACTACTTTTGGTATGTAAGGGGTGCCAAAAGAGGCCGGTAACGGCTACTGGCCTTACCTTCATCTTTCCGCCGAACAGAAGGTTGTGCAGCAGCCCGATCATGTGCGAATTTCTCGTCAAGCGCCCCAGCTTCTCGGCAACGTTGGGGATGTCCTCGAGAGCCGAGCCCGCGCCCTTAGCGATCTCCACCGACTTCTTGTCCTGCGCTGCCTGTAGACATCATCAGGAAATACAGAACGAGCCAGACTGAAGATCCTGGGAGTTACAAAATTCCGGGTCCTTATTGTAAGAAGGATAAGTTTTATGAACTTCACCGTAACAACAGGTACGCTCGCGAAAGACTGCTGGTGGCCTTTCTTTTGCCTTCCTAGTTGTCAAACAAAACCCATGCTACGATACTACTCCACACGCTTGCCCACACTCCGCACAGATCCTGTCTGCAGAGAGCCAACCCCGGTTGTCAGAACCAAAAATACATCCGTACTACTGTACCTTATCGCGGCAGCAAGGGCTGATCTGATCTTACCGCATAGTTGTCGCCGAGCCTGTCTATAGACTTCCTCTTGCGTCCGCTGGAAGGAGACGCCGGCGTCTTCGCCGCCTCCTTCGCCTTTTTCCCCTTGGGGGCGCTCTTGGCTCCCTTCTTCGCCTCCTTCTTCGCCTCTTCTTCTTGCTCCTCGTCCTCGCTTTCCTCCTGCTCGTCTTCTTCTTCCTCCTCTTCGTCATTTTCGTCTCCGTCATCATCATGTTCTTCTTCTTCTTCTTCTTCTTGCTCCTCCTCGTTGGCTGCCTTTATCCCTTCGTCCTTTTTTTTCTCTTCCACTTCCTCCTCCTCCTCCTCCTCCTCTTCCTGAACCTTCATTTCATCCACCTTCTCCTCTTCCTGAACCTTCGTTTCATCCACCTTCTCCTCTTCTTGGACCTCCATTCCATCCACCTTCTCCTCGTCCTGGACCTTCGTTTCATCCACCTTCTCCTCTTCCTGACCCTCCATTCCATCCACCTTCTCCTTCTCCTCCTCTTCTTGCTTCCCTCCGTTCTCTACGCCGTCGCCCTTCTCTCCTGCACCCCCCTCGCTCTCCTGTTGCTGCTGTGCTGCCGCAGCGTCCTGCCCGTTTTCTGCTGCACCTGCTGCAGCAGGGGTTTCCGCAGCAGGCTTTTCCACAGAAGGGGTTTCGGCAGCAGGCTTTTCCGCAACAGGCGTTTCCGCGGCAGTCTTTTCCACGGTAGGGCTTTCCGCAGCAGGCTTTTCCGCAACAGGTGTTTCCGCTGCAGGCTTTTCCACGGAAGGGGTTTCCACAGCAGCAGCAGCAGCAGCAGCAGCAGCAGCAGGCTTGCTAACGCTCTCCACAGCCGTGGTCGCCTCACTCATAGTGGCCGGCGCCGACGCAGCTCCCTTGAGGGCCGGGACTGGGTTGGCGGGAGTCGGCGGGCGGAAGGTCGAGAACGGCGCGGTCTCGCCGCTGGCCGGCGGCGGCGGAGAAGCTCCAGGCGCTGGTAATTCTTGCGCCGTCAATGCGGGGTCTTCCATGTTCGGATCTGGCCTTGGATTTGGGCTCTTTCGTGACGGGCATGATGAGAGACAACGGTGCCGGGGGGGGGAGGGGGGCGAACGAGAAAAATGAAACTGAGATATGGATAGCACGGTATTGCTGACGGCGAACAGGGCTGTTTGTGTGACTGCTGGCAGCGAAATATTCCACTGTTGGTGGGCAATCGCGAATCGAGAGAGAACATGCTCCAAGAGCATGGCGAGCCCCACGCTCGCGCTGTTGGATGTGTCAGGACGTCACCAGCTACTCTGTTACACCCGTAGATGATTGTCTGTCCTAGGCTTGTAGAAACGCACCAGCGGGTACAACAGTAGCAGGAAACATATGCTGCAGTATCTATGAATGCCTTGCTGTTGAGAATGGGAGAAAATGTAAGGGGCCATGGCGATACAACATCATGGCGTCGCATGGAAATAGCACTGGTACGTACCAGCTGGCGCGCTAATAGAGCCAGCGCGAATAGTACTGCGGTGATACTTATCAGAGTACAGGTGGGCGGGTGGCTACATGCAGGCCTGCTAGACGGGTGCTTCCATGCTTCGGTAGGAGGACATATATAACTCATCCCAACTACGCCGACATAGCTCTTACCACGTCCCTCGCCCCTGACATCACCCATCTGCAACTGGGAGCTGGGTAAGACGCCTCTCGCTATGCATATCATACAACCGAAATCAACAATTGACCGTTAGACCGTTAACTTTCTTCAGAGGGGCACGGGACGCGGAACTACTTCTCCCGGATACCAAAACAAAGTTCAACCGACGACTGATTGAGACAGGGGGTCAAGTGCGAGAAACGCCGACCGGGGAACCCACGCGCGGTTGCCTCTCAGTCGGCATCCACACGGCATGCTAACCAATGCAGTGTTGGATGCCTGGCGTCCGCCCAAACCGAAGGCGTGGGCAGTAGATGTGTGTTGAACATCCTGCCGGTACAGGCAAATTTCCTCAACTTCATACATTTGCGACATGCGGCTCGCCCGCCGCCCGTTTTTTCCAGATGAAACCAACGCACAACACTTCCGCTTTGGGTGCTGATTCTGCAGCCTACGATACACGTGCATCTAGGTTGCCCCTATGCACAAGCAGCACGCAGCAGAGAGAGATGCTGCTGGCTCTCGAACACTGCTGAGGAGGAGCGGAAGCAGCTGCTGCCTCTCTCTCTGTTGTAGCATTCATGTCTAAAAAAAATCATTTCGCATGATGACCCGGTCTGTCCGCGGTATTCACCACCACAAAACGACCGTCTAGAGCTTCTATCTGCTAGGATGGGGGTGGTCTGCATTGAGCCCATGTCCAAAAGCTGGGGGGGAACACACGAGCCGTGCGATCGCGCCCTTGTCCCCCATCGCAGCAGGCAACACAAAGGGGTGACAACAAATCTTGGGTTGTGTCTGTCTCGCATCTCTTCTTCGAAAACGACACGGCAACACTCGCGCCAACAACGACACTTGCCGCAGTTCTCACCTCCGACAACGACGAACAAGAAAGATTCACACCTCAGAGCGTTGAGATTTGTCACGGAGCTTCTCTCTCGCGCACACACCAATCCGTTTCGGAGCTCTCCTGTGTTTGTGTCAGCTTTTTTTTGTTCATCATTTGCGTGAGGGGGTCATATGGTGCGTGGAGGGGTATGTACATGGTTCTGTCTGCGGGGCCACCTCCCATGTGAAAAAAGTGAGTTTGCTGCCCTCTGGCTATCCGCCCGCCTCCAATCTCTGCCTTCTGTCTCTCTGTGTCGCTGCGCACGCCCAAGGGACGCATCGGTTTTCGCTAGGAGCTCTAGGGTTGCGCGGGAATGCGGCGCAATTCCGGCGCAAGCGCGGCGGGGGATGGTGGGGCAACAGGCGGCGGCGGTGGCGGCGGCGGCAATGGCAACTACGCAGCAGCAGCGGGCGGGAGCGGCCCTGTGGGCAGCAGCAGCAGCGGCGGCACCAACAGCAAGGGAAAGATGGGCAAGATAAGGAAGTCTCTCTCGAGGAGGCTAAGCCTGTCGAGGAGGAGCAGCTCGAGCAGCACACCAAGTGAGCCTCGTGCGCACGAGAGTGCTTGATGGAAAAACGTTTGTTCCTAAATGCATGCCCTTCTTTCTGGGTTCTCGCTCGGAAGGAACCCTCACGGCCGTGCGCCATTTGCTATCGTTAGCCGCACTCTGATGACATGCAGCGCATCCAACGAGCAGCTGTAGTCGTGCTTCCGGAGCCGCTCTAACACAGGATTCAGCGCCGACTGCACGCGTTGACATCAACCGCACGCCTTGGATGCGTTGACTACTTCTGTGGCATCCCGAATCCGAAAATGTACAGCGTAGAACTTTGCAAGACTCTGTCGTACCAAAGGCAAAGTTCTCACCGAAGTCACCAAAACCAGTCAACGTCGGGCGTAAATATTTGAAAATGGATGCTGTCTTGTTGCGCGCCTGAACAAATAATCAGTGGCACGACGCACGACCCACTCTCGTTGCAGACGCATCCTTTCGTAGAAGGTACACCCATCAGCGCTTTGGCCGACCGCAGCACGGACTCGTGAGTCAGTGTTCGATTTTTGGCGTGCCTTTTTTGCTACCGACATGTGCTACCTATAGAGTAGACTTTGCTCACAAGCAGTAGGGAGCGGCGCCCATGTTTTGCGACATGATGCGGCCGTTAAAAAGCACGCAATTTTTACGTACATCGTGGATGCGTACCCACATGGGATCGATCAGGTTAAAAGGCGTCGATCGCCTGCCTCTTCGGTGCCAACCTTGGTGATGAATGTCGTTCCCGTGACAAAAAGCGTTCGTTTTTGGAAGCCGTATGCACATGTTTGTATGCCCCCCGAGAATCCCGCTTTCCCGCCCATGCACATACCTACATAGTTGTTCATGCAACAGGCGGCGTTATCACATACTGCTGTACCACTCCGCACCGTATCTGATGTACATACAACGTCTCAGTTGCGTACCACACCCACCCGCGTAGTTGATTTTGTTTCCATGTTTTGCTGCCTGCAGTCAAAGCCGGCGGTCCTGCTGGCGGCGTCCGTAGGTACACATGTCTGCCTCAGAATCCGGCTCGTACCGTATGTAGATCGCTGAAACGGTCGTGGTCGACCAGGAGTTACGAGTTCCGCCGCTTACACCAGTTGGTACAAGCAGTGGGCGCCCGCGCTCATGCAAGATAACCTATGGTATTACCGAGGGTGGGGTTCCTAGTTCCGGTTAAGGGTTAGGCTACAAAGTGGCCGCTACATCGGTTGGTGTGGTGGAGGGGTTCTTGACCGGGCCCGCAAAGGGTGCTCAAGTTCTTGGGAAATGTTGAGCATGAAGGTCTTAACTGCGGAGGTGGTAAGTGCGGGCTCTGGCTGTATTGCAGGCTGTATTGCAAGAACCCAATGAAATAGGGTGACTGCGGTGATCCCCTGTTTTTCGAGTCGTTCCCACTCGCCGAGGCAACCAAGATGGCCCCTTAGCAGGACGCTGCAACAGAGAAACTGCTCCCCGATAAGCTCCTATACACATGAGCTACTACTGGTGGAATCCGAGATCATGAGCTACTAATCTTTCGCCATCAACCTCTCGCAACTCCCGCGCTAGTCCTCCCGAGGGCACGTTCGCAACGGTCCAACAGCTACAAGGCCTATGCGAAACATAAGTACAGACCTCCTCCCCCCCCCACCCCCCCCGTCCTTCCAGATCACGAAGGATACTCGGGCTTTACCTCGGTCGCCGGAAGCGAAGAAGGTCGGTACGACCGCGATGGTGTCCCCGAGAACGAGCAAGCCGTGGCATCCCCAGCAGGCGTTCCCGTCGTTTTTCCGGGGATGGGGCCTCCCGCCCCTCGCGGAGCCCCCCAGGGTCGTGACCCGCTGTCCCCTGTCCCCCAAGGCGCCCCGGTGTCCTCCGCAGCTGCAGCAGCGGCGGCGGTGGCATCGGCGGCGGCGGCCTCCGCTGCGTCTTATGCCGCCGCCGCCGGCGCTCCTCCATCGTCGGCAGCCCCCTACTCGGTTAGCCCTAGACTACTCTCAGGGACGTCGGCGGGGTCGCCGCGGACGGCGGTGGTGGACGTGGGCAGTAGGGATCGCGGGGTGCTGGAGGTTACCGCCGAGGAGCCGGCGGGCGGGAGGGGGATGGCAGAGGAAGAGGCCGCCCTCGAGCAGCTCATGGAGAAGGCGGAGAAGGCGGCGAACGCCGCGGAGGCGCAGAAGGCGGCCATCGCCGCCAACAGGGCCAAGGAGGTCGCGAACAGGGCGGCGAGGGCGGCCGCCGCGGCCGCGGAAGCCGCGCGGAAGGACTCCGACGCCGAGTCCGCGCACGCGGAGTCGCTGTACGCGGACTCCGCGTG